TGGGAACCACAGCAAACGACAGATATAGACGACGGACGATGACCCCCCCAAGTTGATTGAGCACTTGGGGATTGTGGCCACGAGAGCCCACTATCACCCAATATTCTCGGCCGCCCTTCAGGCCGTCAAGACAGTCATGCACGTGCGATTGGTGTGGTCACAGTTCGTGTACATGGCCATGGTGAATCACATCAGCCGCATCGGGCTAAAGGGCGTGCCTTTTTCAGCTGATCGAGGTTGTCTTCTCGAGGTTCGAAAGGATGATGACCGCAGAGTGCTTCGAGTGGTCCGAGGGGTGGCAGATGCGCAAGGCCGTTTCTGGACACATCGATCAGGAGAAGAATGCGATGCCAATCGTGTACAAAAAGTACTTAGAGCGGTTTGCCGAGTACGATGTATGCAGCAGGTAGACACAAGGCGCAGGGATTCCGAGGCGGTCGAGGACGTTGACGTTGAGGCGATTTGGCAGACCGTACAAGCTCTATCGTGAGAGTTTCTCCGTGTCGGACAGGAAGCTCTTGGGCATATTCTTGGCTGGTGCAGTTTCCACGGAGACAAGGCGGCAACCGGGGAGACCCTGCGCACATTGTGGGGCACTGTGGCAGTGTTTCAGACACCTTGTTTTCAAATGGTTCTGAATATCATGTTCTACCTTCCAACATTGCAAGGAGGCGGGGCAGCCTTGCTAAAGTTTGGGCGTATGTTCCCAGAGTTTCGGCGGAGTCTGGTTGGATCACGCTGGATATGTCGCCAAACCCTTCGAACATATCTGAAATGATGACTGCGGCGCGCGAGCTGGGGGTCAGTATCTTGCAGATGGAACCATCACCAAGTACCTTTTGGGTATAGTTTACTTCTGTGGGGAAAGTCCTCGTTACGGATATCCCACTCACCATCTTCACCGCCGTCGACGACGACTTAGCCGTTTCCGTCGACAATATCGCCTTGGCAAAGGGGCGCCGCCCAGCCAGGAAGCCTGGCGGGACGGCGTCCCCGTAAGGACAACCACCGACGTGCAGACGGGTGGGCACCATTGCTGCGTCCAGACGAGGAGGGAGGAGGAGCGCCATTGCGGGCCCTGCAAGGAGACGGAGGAACACCATGGCGCGCCACAGAGGAAGACGCAATGGCCGCAGCTAGACGACTGGCGCCCAGCCCAGCAGCAGCAGGGAAGCCTTAGGCCTCTCGTAATGGGGGGCGGTACATAGGGGGAGGGGCGAGGATGGCTGCAGAAAAGAGGCCCTCTAAGGCCCCGAATCCGGGTGGTTTGAGGCCCACAGAGGGGGCCCTTTTTCGGGGCCTCATATGGCACCTGTTTCCCCGCAGTTATCCCCCCCCCTCAAGCGACGCCCAACATCCCAGGCGTGGTCTCCGCCCAACACGGCTGAGTTCCTGCGCGTCGACCCTGCGGTCACGAAGCGCTCTCACCACGAATCGGTCGGCCCCAGGGCCTCTCCCCAGGATCCGTGTCGGACAGGCTCATCTTCTTCCTTCTCCTCCTCCTCCACGAATCGGTCGGTCCCAGGGCCTCTCCCCAGGATCCGTGCCGAGCAGGCTCCTCCTCTTCCTCCTCCTCCTGCTCCTCCTCCTCCTCCTCCTCTTCCTCTTCCTCCTCCTCATCCTCCTCTGCGTGCTCATCCTTGTGCGTATGCTGGCGATATCGAAGTCGCCACTTTTTATTTGGCGAAGGCGCACAAGAATGTGTCCGATCGCTTTGTCCGTCTTGCCCTAAGGGCGGGGCTTTACCAACCGGTGCTAGTTTCTGCTACGATCTTAACCAGCGGATACCCTCTTTCGCCAGGAGAGCCGGGCTGAAAGAGTGAAGGTTTCGGGGTCCAAGATCGGCGGTTTCGTGCTTTACCTCGGGGTGGTCATCGGTCCTGGGATGCTCCTCTTCAGTCTCTCATGAAACGCTCCAAGTGCGCTTAATCCCTGTGCTCAGGTCTCTCTGAAAAGATCCACCTGTCGAACCTCGATTGCCAGCCTGTTGTCCAGCACATTTCCCAGCTCTTTGCTACGAACAGAAGTTGAGTCTCCGTGGAGCGGGAGGCATTGCAGCATTTACCATGTGCAAAGAGGCGCTCTCTAACAAGCGCGATGTTCTGGGATCTTGATTCTTTTGGGATCAACGGTTCTGCTCGCAGTCTATGCCACCACGCCCGTACCGCCCAGTATCGAGCTGCACTAAAGTCTGATGCGTTTACCCGTCTCAGTAATGACTTAGACGAATTCAGATATGGTGTATATTGTCGTATACGGCTTCCCCGACGTGTCGATCGTCCGCGTTCATCAGCATATGGAAGAACGTTGATGAGTTGTGGTCGCCTCCATCCGTTCATTCCTCACGATGTCCTGGTCTTCGAAGTAAAACGCTCGCGAATGTGTTCGTTTCTTCCCCCCTCTTTCCCTTGCTCCTGCCTTCCATGCCCGTCCGAATTATTGGACCCTTGTCACTCCCGCCCAGGCTGGCCTGACCAGGCTCAGATGTGCGATGGTCGAAAAGAAAGTTGGCTCGTGCATAGCTGGTTCCGGTTGTTTAAGCATGGTTAATGCTAGGGCCACGCTTCGGCGTTTTCGTAATGAGCGTCAGAAGTGTGGATTCGGATGCTATGCTGTAGGTGGCGATGCTGTTCCGCTTCCACATTCTATACTGTGCCCGTGTTTGATTCCACTTGTCCGTGCCTTTCTGCCCGCCCTGCCTGTCGACTTGGGCGATGACCCCTTCTCGGCTCTTATTTGAAATGTGGTGAATGTCGAGAGTGGCTCTCCTGTCTTGTATTCGATCGGCCTCGCGGTCGATGGGATGCACGCTTCCTTTAACCAGCAGCGTGCGAGTGAGTCGACAGGACATGTTGCTGCGCGCCTCGCCCTCCATGCCCGCCTCAGAACCCAGGCCATCCCCTGCCAAGCGGCCCCAGGTCTCATCGCGATCTGCTCAGGTGGTGTGGGCTAGACCTCTCTGGTGAAGGCCTGGGACTCCTCCCCTGTCATCTTGGCCTTGCCCTTGTCCGCTTCGCCTCCTTCCCTCCCAAAGCTGGTTATGGCTCCGCCTCCTCCTTCTCTTTTCCTCCTCGTCAGAGGGGATGATGACAAGGCGGGGGGACATCATGGCGGGGGCCATGATGTTTCCCGGGACCTCCCCATGAAGTCATTTCCTCGGGGTGCGCACGTGCTGCGGACCATGATTTGCGAACCCCTCTCTCGTGGACGCCCCCGACAATGCGAAAACCTTAGGAGGCGCCCAGAGGCCTCCAAGTCGCCGCCGCCGTCCTCGCCGTAGCCGCCGTCGTCGTCGCCGCCGTCGCCGTTGTCGAGAGACTCTCAGCCACGGTCCCATGCATCCTTCTGCAGGGGCCACTCTTGGCCAGTGTTCAAAGCCGCGCTCGGCCGTGGAGACGAGAGCCTGTTCGGAAATCCCTCGGAGCTTACAGAACAGCGTCGTCCTCGTCGTCGCCGCCGCCGTCGCCGCATTCTGCGCCCGGCCCTCATCCACCCCAGGAGGTCTCGGGAGGCCTCTGGATGCCCTTCCCCGGAGGTCCCAGGAGTCCGGGGATCGGCCAAGAGGTCCAGAAGTTGTGTCTCCAGAACCTCGCCCATCGTCGCCGCCGCCGCCGTCGCCGCTGCCGTTCCCGTCGCTGCCGTCGTCGTCGTCGTCGTCGTCGTCGTCCTTGTCGTCCTTGTCGTCCTTGTCGTCCTTGTCGTCGTCGTCGTCGTCGACGTCCTTGTCGTCGTCGCCACCGCCGCCGCCGCCGTCGCCGCCGCCGTCGCCGCCGCCGTCGCCACCGCCGTCGTCGTCGCCCTCGCAGTCGCCCTTGATGCCGCCGTCCCCTGAGACCCAATGGGGTGGGAAAGTTGCAACATCGTGAAGGATCTCGACGGTAGTTCAGGACCTCATCTTTCTGCAGCACCCTTGCCTGGCGCTATCTGTGATAGTCCTAGTCGGGAGCCTCGAGACGGGGGTCAACGCAAACAGGGGTCAGCCAGAGCGCCGGATGTTGCAGGATCTTGCGGAGGCAGGGTCGCATTGACTTGGGTTTGGGTGCAGGATATTGCAGGATCTTGCAGGATCCCGCAAGGCGTCATTGACCCCGGTTTGCATTGACCCGGGTCAGTAGATCCCCGAACCGGGGCCTGACACCGTGCGAAACCGCCCGGTGCCAAACAATTGCAGCGCCCAGGCCTCAGGGGTCGTCATCGCCGTCCTCTCCACCGTCGCCGTCACATGCGACGTCATGATGTTTTCAATGGGCGGTCCCTGGCAGTCCCGACCCTTTCCCCAGGACCAGTTTTTCATCCCGAGTCGTTTTTTGCAGTCTTTGGGCCCCGTAAAGGCCCTTGGAGAAACCGACAACGGCGAAAACCTCCCGCCGTGACGTCTGCGCGACGCGAGCATGTCTGGCTTCGCCCTCGCCGACCTGGCTGTCCACGCTGCCGCCGCCCTCGCCGCCGAGAGGAGGAGGAGGAGGAGGAAGAGGAGGGGGAGGAGGAGGGGGAGGAGGAGGAGGAGGAGGAGGAGGAGGAGGAGGAGGAGGAGGAGGAGGACGAGGAGGAGGAGGAGGAGGAGGAGGAGAAGGAAGAGGAAGACGATGAGGAGGAGGAGGAAGACGAGGAGGAGGAGGAGGAGGAGGAGGCATAGGAGAAGCAGGAGCAGGAGGAGGAGGAGGCGGAGAAAGGAGCAGAAGGAGGAAATAGAGTGGGAAGAGGAGGAGAAGGAGAAGGATGAGGAGGAGGAGGAAGTGGAGGAGACGGAGCAGGAGGAGGAGGGTTGAGGAGGCCGAGGAGGAGGCGGCGGTCGAAGAGGCGGAGGAGAAAGAGGAGAAGGCCTCGTCGTCGTCGTCCTTGACGTCCGCATCCTCGACGTCGTCGTCGTCCTCGTCATCGTCCTAATCGTCGTCCTCGACGTCCTTGTCGTTGTCGTCGTCGTTGTCCCCGTCGCCGTCGTCGTCGTCCTCGCCGTCATCCTCGCCGCAGCCGCTCCGCTCGCGCCGCCGTTCGCCGAGGATCCCCGCCGCAGCAGCCCTCAAGCGGCCGCGCGCGCGGGCTCGCTGGTACCGCCGGCTGGCGGTGGCGGCGTGGACCTCGAGGAGCACAGCGTGCGACGACGACGACGACGACGACGACGACGAGGACGGAGACGACGGCGACGACGACGACGACAACGACGACGACGACGACGACGACGAGGACACGACGAGGACGACGACGACGACGATGAGGACACGACGACGACGAGGACGACGACGACGACCACGACGACGACGGCGACAACGACGAGGACGACGAGAACAACGAGGACACGACGACGAGGACACGACTACGACGACGACGACGACGACGAGGACACGACGACGACGACAAGGACACGACGACAGCGACGACGACGAGCACACGACGACGACAACGACGACGACGAGGACACGACGATGAGGACGAGGACGACGACGACGATGACGACGACGATGACGAGGACAACGACGAGGACACGAGGACGACGACGAGGGCACGACGACAACGAGGACACGTCAACGACGACGACGACGACGACGACAACGACGAGACACTACTACGACGACGAGGACGACAACGACGACGAGGGCACGACGACGACGAGAACACGACGACGACGAGAACACAATGACGACGACGACGAGTACACGACGACGATAGCGACGACAACGACGACGACGACGGCGACACGCTGACGGCGACGACGACGAGGACGACGACGACGACGAGGAGTCGACGACGACGAAAACGACGACGAGGACGACGACGACGACGACGACAACGACGACGTCGAGGACACGACGACGACGAGGACACGACGACGACGACGACGATGACGACGACGAGGACACGACAACGACGACGACGATGACGACGACGACGGCGACGACGCCGACGAGGGCAAGACGACGACGACGAGGACACGACTACGACGACGACGACGAGGACACGACGACGACGAGGACACGACGACGACGAGGACGACGAGGACGATGACAACGACAATGCCGACGACAAGGACGACGATAACGCTGACGATGACGACGACGACGACAACGACGACGACGACATCGACGGCAAGGACACGACGACAAGGACGACAATGACGACGACGACAACGACGACGACGACGAGGACGACGACGACGACCGCGAGGACACGACGATGACACGACGAGGAGGGCGACAGCGACGACGACGACAACGACGAAGACGACGAGGCCACGACGAGGACGAGGACGACGATGACCACGTCGACAACGACGGCATCGACGACGACGACGAGGGCGATAGTTTCGTTGTCGACGACAACGACGACGACAACGAGGACGACGACGACGACAACAACGACGACGATGCCGACGACGACGAGGACACGACGGCGACGACGACGGGGACGACGATGACGACGACGACGACGACGACGACGACGACGACGGCGAGGACGACGACGACGACGACCAGGACACGACGACGACAACGACGACGACGACGAGGACGACGACGACAACGAAGACGACGCCGACGACGACGACGAGGACGATGACGACGACGAGGACGACGACGACGACGAGGACGATGACGTCGAGGACGACGTCAATGACGACGACGACGACGACGAGGACAAGACGACGACGACGACGAGGGCACGACGACGGCACCGACGACGACGACGAGGACGACGACGACGACGAATTCGACGACGACGAGGACGCGACAACGACGATGGGGACATTAAGGACGACGACGACGACGCTTACGACGACGTCGATGACGACGACAACGACGACGACGACGACAAAGCCGACGACGACGACGACGACGTAGACGACGACGACGACGAAGACGACGAGGGCGACGACGACGACGATGACGAAGGTTCAACGATAACGACGACGACGACGAGGACACCGAGGACACGACGACGACGAATACGACGACGACGATGACGACGACACGTTGACGACGACGACAACGACGACGACGAGGAGGACGACGACGACGGCGACGTTGACGACAACAACGAGGACGACGACGACGACGAGGACGACGGCGACGACGACGACAACGACGACGACGAGGACACGACGAGGACGAGGGCGAAAACGACGACGAGGACGACGACGACGTCGACGACGACGGCATCGACGACGACGACGAGGGCGAGAGTTACGACGACGACGACGACAACGTCGACGACAACGAGGACGACGACGACGACGACGACGACTACAACGACGACGACTACGACGACGACGAGGACACGACGACGACGACGAGGACGACGATGACGACGACGACAACGACGACGACGACAACGATGTCGTTGCCGACGGCGGCGACGACGACGACGACGTAGACGACGATGACGACAACGACGACGACGACGAGGACATGACCAGAACGACGACGACGACGAGGACGAGGACGGTGACGACGACGATGAGGGCAAGACGACGACGACAACAACGACGACGAGGACGACGACGACGGCGACAACGACAACGAGAACAACGACGACGGCGACGTCGAGGACGAGAACGCCGACGACGACGACGATGAGGGCAAGACGACGACGACAACAACGACGACGCCTACGAGGACGACGACGACGAGGACACGACGACGACGACAACGACGACGACGACGAGGACGACGACGGCGAGGACGACGACTACGACAACTACGAGGACACGACGACGACGACGACAACGACGTAGACGATGACGACGACGACGACGACGAGGACACGACGACGACGAGGACGACGACGACGGCGACGACGAGGACGAGGACTGTGACGACGACGACGAGGACGACGACGACAACGACGACGAGGACACGATGACGACGACGAGGACGAGGACGACGACGACGACGGCGACCATCACGACGACGACGAGGACGACGACGACGACGACGACGACGTCGAGGACGTCGACAACGAGGACGACATTGACGACGACGCGGACGACGATGAGGACGACGACGACGACGATGGCGAGGACGACGACGACGACGAGGCCGACGACAACGACGACGACGAAAATGACGACATCGACACGACGGCGACGTCGAGGACGACGTCGAGGACGACGACGACGACGACGACGACATCGACGACGACGACGAGGACGACGATGAGGACGACGACGATGTCGAGGATGACGACGACGACGAGGGCGACGAGACGACGACGACGACGACGACGGCGACGACGACGACATCGACGACGACGACGACGATGAGGATGACGACGACGACGACGATGGCGAGGACGACGACGACGAGGCCGACGACAACGACGACGATGACGACGACATCGCCGACGACGACGGCAACGATGAGGACGACGACGAGGACGACGACGACGACGGCGAGGACGACGACGACGACGAGGACGACGACAACGACGACGGCGACGATGACGACGACGACGACACGACGGCGACGTCAAGGACGACGCCGAGGACGACGACGACGACGACGACGAGGACGACGACGGCGACGACGACAACGACGATGCCGATGACAACGACGACGACGTCGAGGACGTCGTCGACGACGAAAACGACGACGAGGACGACGACGACAACGACGACGACGACGAGAAGTACAACGACGACGAGGACGACAACGACGACGACGACGAGGACGAAGACGACGACAACGACGACGACGAGGACGACGACGACGACGAGGTCACGATAACGACGAGGACGACGAGGACGACGGCGACGACGACGAGGACACGACGACGACGACGACAACGACGACGAAGACGAGGATGACGACGACGACGATGACGAGGACACGACGACGACGATGACGACGAGGACGACGACGACATTGACGACGACTGCGACGAGGACACGACGTGGACGACGAAGAGGACGACGACGACGGCGACGACGACGAGGAAGATGAGGACGACGACGACGACGATGACGACGACGACGATGTGGACGGCGAGGACAACGACGACGATGACTACGACAACGACGAGGAGGACGACGACGACGACCAGGACGACGACAACGTCGGGGACAACGAGGATGACGACGACGATGACGACGACGATCACGAGGGCGACCAGGACGACTACGCCAGGACGACGTCGACGATGATGACGACGACGACGGGAACGACGACGACGGCGACGATGACGGCAACAACGAGGACGACGACGACGACGAGTACAACGACGACGATGACTACGACAACGACGCCAGCACGACGACGACGACCTGGACGACGCCGACGATGACTACGACAACGACGCCAGCACGACGATGACGACGACGACGACGACGAGGACGGCGCCGACGACGAGGAGGACACGACGACGACGACGACGACGACTCCGAGGGCGACCAGGACGACGACGCCAGGACGACGACGGCGAGGACGACGACGAGGACGCGAACGACGACGACGAGGACGATGACCACCACGACGACGACGGGAACGACGACGACGACGACGACGACGACGACGTTGACGACGTTGACGACGTTGACGAGGACAGCGAGGACGACGACGAGGACGACGATGACGACGATGAGGAGGTGGAGGACGACGACGACGACGAGGACGACGACGACGATGACATCGAGGACGACGACGAGGACGACGACGACGTCGAGGGCGACGACGTCGTCGACGTCGACGACGACAACGTTCTGCGGGCGTTTCGCGGCGCGCACTGCCGCGCGCCGGGTCGCAGAGTGTGCGCCGGGCGGGAGGCGGCAGACCCAGGGCCCGTCGTCTTACGAAGAAATCACGACGGGTCGGACTCTGTGGGCCCCAGGACTGTTAGCGACCGGTTCAGGATGAGGACGCCCTGGCATCGCTCGGACGTGCGCGTTTTTTCTCGGCGAGGGCCATCGAGGAGCATCCTTGATCATTCGGCGAAACGACCACGCACGAAACCGAAAAAAGCACAGGGAATGGACGTCCGAGCGATGGCCAGAAACGGTCCAGGACAATGAGTCGGGGCCTCTGGGCGTCCACGTCATTACAGTGACAAAATCGTGACGCCGGGGGCGATATCCGCCGCCGACGTCTGGGCGTCCAAGCCATGACAAATCGTGACGCTGGTCCCCATTGTCACCGCCGCCGCCGCCGCTGCGTCCGAGGAGCCTCTGGGGGAAGCTGTCAACGCGCCTGCATGGTCTGCGCAGAGGTCGTCGTTGTCGCTGTCGTCGTCAGCGCCGCCGCCGTCCCTTCGGTAGCAAGTCGTGGGAGCCTCGCACGTCCTTGGAATTTCTTACTTCAGAGTGCATTAGCTTGCGCTAACGAGTAGTGATCGATGAGAGCACCGATTTGGCGTCGACCTCGCGTCGATTAGCGTCGACCCGCGTGGGGCAGCATCGATTCGCAAGAGCCAGCAAGTCGGCATGGGAGGCTCCCGGGAGCTGCCACCGAACGCCCCCGTGTCCGATGCGGCCCAGGCAGCCCCAGTGGAAGCTGCAGGGGCGTCTGCGCAGGAGGCGCCCGAGGAGGCGGCGAGGCCCGCCGGGGAGGCGGCCGAGGTGCAGCCGGAGGCGCAGAAGCCCGCGGAGCTGCCAGAGGTGGTCGCAGAGGCACCGGCGGAATCGGCTGCGGATGCTGCAGAGGTGCCCGTGGTATCCACGCAGAGGGCATCCGAGGTGGCGAGCACGAAGCTTGCAGAGAAGGCAGACACACAACTGGAGGCGCAGGCTGAGGAGGTGCAGACGCCCGCGGGGCCGCTCGACGTGGTTGCGGAGACACCGGCAGAGGTGGCTGCGAGTGCCGTAGCAGGAGAGTCGCAGGCGTCTGTGATGGCACCTGTGGATGTACCAACGGAGGCAGCCAGCACACCAGTGCCTGCGGAATTGCCCGTTCTTGCTGGAGGCACTGGAAGTTACATCAAGTACCCGTACCGGGCAAGTGCAGTTGGTGCAGTGCCGGAGGAATTGTCAGAGAAGCCCACAGAAGGCGAGACGCGTCTGGACGCACCAGGTACACCAGTGTCTGCAGAGTTGCCAGCCGAAGCCCCTACCGAAGAGGCGTCTGCCGAGCAGGCCGTGGAGGCACCTGCGGCGGTACGCCCAGAAGCATCGGTCGCACCTGCGGTTACTGAGCAAGCCGTGACTGAACCAGTGGACGCATGCATGGTGGCATCAGCCGCTCTCGTGCCTGCAGAGTCGCCCGCCGAAGCCCCTGTCCAAGAGGTGCAGAAGCTCTCGGAGGACGCACCCGAGGAGATGACGCAGCCTGCAGAGGCACAGGCCGAGGAGATGCAGAAGGTCACGCAGCCAGTGGAGGCGCCTGCGGAAGTGCCAGTGGACGTGCCAGCGGGTGCTGCTGCGGGAGAGGTGCAGGCGTCTGCTGAGGAAGCCGTGGTGGCACCTGCAAAGGCGGCAGAGGCGGTTGCTGAGCAAGCAGTGACTGAACCAGTGGACGCATGCATGGAGGCATCAGCCGCTCTCGTGCCTGCAGAGTCACCCGCCGAAGCCCCTGCCCAAGAGGTGCAGAAGCTCCCGGAGGACGCACCCGAGGAGATGACGCAGCCAGCAGAGGCACAGGCCGAGGAGATGCAGAAGGTCACGCAGCCAGTGGAGGCGCCTGCGGAAGTGCCAGTGGACGTGCCAGCGGGTGCTGCTGCGGGAGAGGTGCAGGCGTCTGCTGAGGAAGCCGTGGTGGCACCTGCAAAGGCGGCAGAGGCGGTTGCTGAGCAAGCAGTGACTGAACCAGTGGACGCATGCATGGAGGCATCAGCCGCTCTCGTGCCTGCAGAGTCACCCGCCGAAGCCCCTGCCCAAGAGGTGCAGAAGCTCCCGGAGGACGCACCCGAGGAGATGACGCAGCCAGCAGAGGCACAGGCCGAGGAGATGCAGAAGGTCACGCAGCCAGTGGAGGCGCCTGCGGAAGTGCCAGTGGACGTGCCAGCGGGTGCTGCTGCGGGAGAGGTGCAGGCGTCTGCTGAGGAAGCCGTGGTGGCACCTGCAAAGGCGGCAGAGGCGGTTGCTGAGCAAGCAGTGACTGAACCAGTGGACGCATTCATGGAGGCATCAGCCGCTCTCGTGCCTGCAGAGTCACCCGCCGAAGCCCTTGTCCAAGAGGTGCAGAAGCTCTCGGAGGACGCACCCGAGGAGATGACGCAGCCTGCAGAGGCACAGGCCGAGGAGATGCAGAAGGTCACGCAACCAATGGAGGCGCCTGCGGAAGTGCCAGTGGACGTGCCAGAGGGTGCTGCTGCGGGAGAGGTGCAGGCGTCTGCTCAGGAAGCCGTGGTGGCACCTGCAAAGGCGGCAGAGGCGGTTGCTGAGCAAGCAGTGACTGAACCAGTGGACGCATGCATGGTGGCATCAGCCGCTCTCGTGCCTGCAGAGTCACCCGCCGAAGCCTCTGCCCAAGAGGTGCAGAAGCTCTCGGAGGACGCACCCGAGGAGATGACGCAGCCAGCAGAGGCACAGGCCGAGGAGATGCAGAAGGTCACGCAGCCAGTGGAGGCGCCTGCGGAAGTGCCAGTGGACGTGCCAGCGGGTGCTGCTGCGGGAGAGGTGCAGGCGTCTGCTGAGGAAGCCGTGGTGGCACCTGCGGAGGCGGCAGAGGCGGTTGCTGAGCAAGCAGTGACTGAACCAGTGGACGCATGCATGGTGGCATCAGCCGCTCTCGTGCCTGCAGAGTCACCCGCCGAAGCCTCTGCCCAAGAGGTGCGGAAGCTCTCGGAGGACGCACCCGAGGAGATGACGCAGCCAGCAGAGGCACAGGCCGAGGAGATGCAGAAGGTCGCGCAACCAATGGAGGCGCCTGCGGAAGTGCCAGTGGAAGTGTCAGCGGATGCTGCTGCGGTAGGTGTTCAGGCGTCTGCTGAGGAAGACGTGGTGGCACCTGCGGAGGCGGCAGAGGCGGTTGCTGAGCAAGCAGTGACTGAACCAGTGGACGCATGCATGGTGGCATCAGCCGCTCTCGTGCCTGCAGAGTCACCCGCCGAAGCCTCTGCCCAAGAGGTGCAGAAGCTCTCGGAGGACGCACCCGAGGAGATGACGCAGCCAGCAGAGGCACAGGCCGAGGAGATGCAGAAGGTCACGCAGCCAATGGAGGCGCCTGCGGAAGTGCCAGTGGACGTGCCAGCGGGTGCTGCTGCGGGAGAGGTGCAGGCGTCTGCTGAGGAAGCCGTGGTGGCACCTGCAAAGGCGGCAGAGGCGGTTGCTGAGCAAGCAGTGACTGAACCAGTGGACGCATGCATGGTGGCATCAGCCGCTCTCGTGCCTGCAGAGTCACCCGCCGAAGCCTCTGCCCAAGAGGTGCAGAAGCTCTCGGAGGACGCACCCGAGGAGATGACGCAGCCAGCAGAGGCACAGGCCGAGGAGATGCAGAAGGTCACGCAGCCAGTGGAGGCGCCTGCGGAAGTGCCAGTGGACGTGCCAGCGGGTGCTGCTGCGGGAGAGGTGCAGGCGTCTGCTGAGGAAGCCGTGGTGGCACCTGCGGAGGCGGCAGAGGCGGTTGCTGAGAAAGCCGTGACTGAACCAGAGGACGCCCGCCGAAGCCCCGTCCACGAGGTGCAGAAGCTCTCGGAGGACACTGCAGAGGTGCTTGCGCAGTCCGCGGAGGTGCCTGCACAGTCTACGCCTACGGATGTGACTGCGCTGCCTGCGCAGGAGCTCATGGAGGATGCCGCAGAACCAGCGACCGGGGCGCCAGAGGATGCTCCGTCGCAGGGACCCGCCGCTGCAGCCGCGGAGGAAGCAGGTGCTGCACCTGAACACGTGCCATCTCAGGCATCTGCGGGCGTCCAGTCTCGGTTCTTCTTGGGGAGGCTGGATGATGGAATGCACGTTGCTTCAGCTCACGTACGTTCCCGAAACCGGGGGCCGAGTATCAGATTTCGTGAGTTGATCGGGCATCCCATGCAGAAGCACGCTCTTTAACATCACTCATGTGCGGATGCACAGATCCGTGTACGCATGCATGCAGGTACACATGTGTTCCTCTCGCGTTCGCATGTGACACAGCTGGCACATGCAGCCGACAGTGCACGACCATCTTTTCTGCCTGCCGAATTGGAGCGTACAGCCCAGCGCGGCAATCAGACACGTACCGTCATGAGAGATGGCCCCGACCTCTTGCGAGATCTAAGCAGGTCGAGGCCGTGAGCAACAAGACAACCCTAAAACGTTGGCCCTACCAGCCACCACTAATATTCAGGCTCGCACCCTGATGGCCCGACCTCTCGTGGGGTCTGTTGTCATCCCCCTCGTCTTGTTCTTCCCCCTCGACCGACCCTCCTGCTAGCTGTTCCCGTGCTCCCCCGACCTCCCACCCTCCCACTCCCGCTCCTCCGCAGATCGAGAGGGAGGGATGCCAGGGAAGGGGCGGTGGAGCAGTGGGACCATGGCGAGACGGACCGCCCCCCCCCCTGTATGCTGTCGCCGGGAAGCCACGGTCGGCCGAGCTCCGTCCACCTTCGGGCCGCTGGGGTCGGCGGCGGCGCGTCAAGGGTGCTCGGCCGCGGCGCCCCCCCACACACACACCACACCACACGACAGGGCTCGAGCGAAACGGTGTTTTGGCCATTTCGTGGCCAGTTTGCGTTTCGATCTCGGTCTGCAGCGCAGGGCCAGGCATATGGCGTGATGTATCGAACCCCGATCGCCTATTGATCACCGAGAAGGGTCTGATAGCCCCACCCCGCCCAGGAACGTGCGGACTCCCAATCGGGGGCCTATCGCCGATCCATCGGCCATGTATCGCCGATTCCAGGTCGACATTTCCCCCATGCCAGTCTCCTCCTGTCGTTGGCCCTCAGTCGTGCACCGCAAACCACCGCAGGCAGTTTTCGAAGGCCCGCGCGGACCTCCAAGACAATCTGTTTATGCAGGTGCCTCTGCTACATGCTGGGGAGGGCTCCTCCCCCCCCCATGAGAGGGCTCCTGCCCCTCTCGATCGCTGCCCCTCAGAAGGTGGCGAATAATCCTGGAGCCCCTGTCCTCCGACGCCCCTCCCACAGACGAGAGGAAGGAGGGAGGAGGAGGGAGGACGAGGGAGGAGGAGGAGGAGAAGGGAGGAGGCAGAAGGGAGGAGGGAGGAAGGAGGAAGGAGGAGGGAGAACGGAGGAAGGAGGAGGGAGCAGGGAAGAGGGCGGAGGAAGGAGGGAGGAGCTCAGCGGAGTTCAGTGGGTCAGACGGTTCGCGGAGCCACATGGATTCGCGCCGTGGGTCTGTTGGCCGCATCTGGCCGCCCCCGCGCCGCGCCAGCCAACCAGGGAGCGGATTGTTCGCACTTCTCTCACAATTCGCACGAGCTGATCCCTGCACTGTAGCCTAGAGTGGCTCGTCGGACCCCCGCGGCAACAGAACCTGCTGCCACTGCCCTGGTTCGCATGACCCGATCCCCGCACTGCAGCAGAGAACCTTCCCGGCCTCACGATCCCCGAAGTGTTCTCGCACGGGCTGGTCTCTGCCTTGTGGCGGAGATCTCATCCGACCCCCTGCGGCACAGCGTAATTAGATGTTGATGACATCGGGCTCTCACTTCACCTGCCTTTTCTCGCTGGATGGGGTCCGAGCTTCAGTTCTGACCAAGAGCAGAAAAGCACGCGGCCAATTTGTATGTTTGGTTCTGCTTTCTGAGATTCGATGATCGGCGGCTGTGGACGTCCCCTTCTGCTCCCCCGGACTGGGTGCGACCTCCGCGTTGCGTTCGATTTGCCACGCGCTTTATGATCCAAAAGTCATCGGGCCGAACTCGGGCCACCGCCATGTTGCGTCGCCCAGCCCGTGGATATGCGAGATGTTCGCACGTGTTGTTTCCTCCCCGCAACTGGAGGGCTCCGTCCTCTCCGAGGGTCCCAAAGGGTGGGTGCAGGGGTGGCGACGGGCGATGGCGGGCGGGAGGAGGGGAGCTCCCCCCCCCTTGCCCTCTCGGAGCCTCCCGCCGTTTTCCTGCCTGACTGGCCCCGCCGCCTGTCCTACTCGTTGCGCGCGCAAGGGGCGCTGACCCACCTTGTGCGCGAGCCTACGAGCCGCCCGCCCCTCGCTAGCCCTCGCGCGGACCCGGTCTGCTGCTACATATATGGCTGCCAGGCGCCATCCTGCCGTAGCACCCGCCCCCGACGCCCCGCCTCCTTGGTGGGCGCGGTGCCCCGCGGGCGAGGCAGCTCTTTTCCAATCTATTGGGGTACCCAGTTCCATAGTAACTATTTCATAGAACCTCACGTGCTACTTGACGTCCCTGTTCTGAATCGGACCGTGCCGACGAGGGCCCTCCAGGGGGACCCAGAAATTCCAGTGCGCTCAGTCGCCCCTGGGAGACAGTGCAGAGTAGCGAGAACATCCAGAAGCACGACGTTGCAGGCTGCAGTGGCGAAACAGGTTTGCTGTTGCCAGCGGCGTCATGCGGGCTACGAGCGTGTTTCTCTGCCTATCGATGACCGACTGCGGCTCGGCGGCGCGGCCTCGCGGACGCGCGGCCCGCGCCCAGACCGGCACCGCTGTGCGAGGGGCGGGTGGGCGTCTTGGGATGGCCCCCAGGGGCCTTCCCGGGGCCATCCCAAAAGCGCTCGTCGTGCCGTTTAGAATTGTCCGTGACGTGCAGCCTGTAGCGTAGATGCGTAGATGGTAGTGTCGACTTTGTCTCAGTGGCGAATGGCAGTTCCACTGGATGGATCAGGGTTTCCCATTGCGCCCACGAAAAAAGACGCTCGTCGTGCCATCCCAAAGCGCCGGCGGGCTGCCCCCCAGGGCCGACCCAAGACCAGGCCCGGGCGCAGAGCGCACTGCAGCAGCCGACGGGGGCCCTGTGGGCGAGGGTCCCGCCCCGCGAGGGCCTCATCCCCGAAGCACTTTTGGCCAGGGGGCGGGTCGCCCCCGCAGGGCCTGAGGAGCGTGCGCCAAGACGGCGCCTCGATCAGGCAGTGAGCCCCGCACTTCCTGCAGATCAAGTGTGCACGAGACCAAGGCGTGCGCGCTGAAGCGTGGCACCACAAGCAGCGACCCCACCCTCTGGGACCTCTTCAAGGTCGTGGGAAAGCAAGACGAGTTTTGGCACCGAGGGGCCTGGCCGAGCTGGCGGCCTTTCCTCCACCGTGGAGGTCGAGGTCACAATCTGGGCCGCCCGAGCCAAAACATCAAAAGAGCGGTACACATCTTTTTACTTGCCACGAAGAGTGCCTACCGCCAGATCGGCATGCTGCATCTCCCCAGCTCCGACCTTCGCGAAGAAATCAGCCCACGTGTTCCCAAGGTAATCGAACACCGTGGAAACCTCCGCACCTCCTGGGAGCACGGGGGCCTGCAAGAGCTCATTTAAATTGCCCTGAGCGGGCGTCTACTGGAAAGAAGGCTTCTCTGGCCTGCCCTCGTAGAGCTGGGAAGCCTGCCTCCAAATGCTGGCATGCTTACGCGCACCTCTACACAAATCGGGGCACCAGCTGGCGCCCTCCTTGACAGCGGACACGTGGTCCGAAACCACAGTGCCCCCCCAAGGCCCTGCTTTCAAGGCTTCCAAGATCGCCTGGCGCTCCGCCGTCGGCACCGTCTGGCACCGTCCTCCCAGGGCGCCACAACGGGCGCGGATCTGAAAACCTTTGGCAGTCAGTTCGGCTACTGACCAGCCACATCTAGTTAGCTCTGGAATTCCATTAGCTTGGCCGCTGCCGTCTGTATACAGCCTCGGCCCCCAAGGAAGATGACAAGCACCCTGGGTCCTGACAGGGGCAGCGCTAGGAGCGGGCTCGACGCAGATGGGAAAGGGGGGGTGCCCGTAGGCCAGCTCGACGGTGTCAAAGTCGGGCGGAAGACCTCTAGCCGAATCGATCATCTTCTGCCGCTGTTCCTGCGCTTCGTTGGGGGGTGGATGTGCAGCGTCGGGATCCTCATCGCCTTGCTGCCGCACCTTATCGCGGCCGAAACACTGGTGTCCGAATGTGCCCTCGGCCTCGCCACAGAACTGACATTTCGAACTGCTGGAAAATCCCATCGCGAACTTTCACGCTGGGGGCCACAGTCCACCCCCGAGAAGGCGCCTCAAAGTCCCCTTGCGCACAGGACCTCGCGCCGAGTTCACTCCCGAACGAAGCGCTCGACCCCGAACCTGCTCGGATCCGTGCGCCTCAGGGATAGTAGAAAACAGCTGCGCCATTTGGGCCCGATTGATACCCTCTCAGAGCTGCTGCCTTACATCACAGGGAGAGATTACCAACACACTAAAAACCTCGTCCTGGTCGGTTTTGACCATATGGGGCCCGACGAGATGCCACCCCACCAGGCTAAGACCGAGGTGAACCACCCCGGCGGGGCCCAGCACGAGCCTCCGAAAGGGCTGCTGAGACAGCGTTGCCTGAGCCTTTTGCTAGGCCCGCAACAAATCAACATCGCTCACCCTGCGATCCCAGACCCAACAGCAGTAACGAAACACTAACGGAACCGTCGCGTCCACCACGGGATCGTAGCTGGGATCGTGATGGGTGGCGAGGTAGGCTGCGTGATGCACCCTGCCACGGGCTCCCGTGAGCTCGGCAGCCGGCGCGCGCAACGATATTAAAGTAGAGTCCTGGAGCCCCATGGCTGCCGCCCCGTGGCCCCCGCTGGGCAGTAAGCCCGCGCGCCAGAGCGCGGCCACCTTTGGCCCGGCAGTCCTCTTGAGGACCCGCAGCTTCGCCCGACGGTCCGGGAGTCGGTGGCGGCTTCTATCGATGGTGCGCTGCGCGCGCCTCCCGAAAAGGTCATGGCACAAATGTCTTATATACATGCTTATTGCGCCTAAAACCTAAGAGCGAGGC